GTGCAGTTGCTGACGCCGGTACTATAAACAATCTTGTAACTGTAAGCACTCAAGGTTATGGCCCATCTTTGCATCCTCGGTGATGTCATTTGTTGTATACCTTTGGTTTCCCCAAACAAGGATATCAATGGTTTGTGGTCTGTATGAAGCTCGAAAACGTTTCCCCATAAATACTGGTGAAACCTCTTAACTCTGAAGATAACGGCTAGCGCTTCCCTGTCCAGTTGTGAGTAGTTCTTCTCCGCCGTCTGTAAGGTGCGCGATGCATATGCTATGGGACGTAAAGACCCATCGTCCATGCGGTGGCACAGGACAGCCCCGACCCCCCAAGGGGACGCGTCGCACTGAAGTATGAGTGGATTTTTAGAGTCATAACGGACTAACGTTGGTGGCGAAGCAAGAGCTTGTTTTGCTTTATTGAAGGCATTTTTTGACGGGAACCCCAACACCACCATGCATTTTTGTGTAACAGCTCATTTAATAGCGATAGAACCGTCGATGCATTAGGCAGGAAACGGCGATAGTGAGATAGCATTCCTAAGAACGAACGGAGTTCATCACAACCCTTTGGCTCTGGGCTTTCTAAAATCGGTATAACCTTGTCATTTAAAACATGTAAACCGTGTTTATCAAGCCGGTATCCAAGGTAACAAACGGAAGGTGAAAGGAACTCACATTTAGACCTTTTCAATCTGAATCCACTTCGCTCCAAACGCTCGAGCACGACCGCGAGTGCTCGAAGATGCTCTGTATCCGAGCGTCCAGAGATAAGAATATCATCCAGATAAGCACACGCAAAAGGAATGTCCTTCACTAGGTCGTCAATAATTCTCTGAAATATTCCGGGGGCGGAATTAATGCCAAAAGGTAAACGAGTATATTGAAATAGTCCCATGTGCGTGGTGATGGTAGTAAGTTTCCTCGAAGGTTCATCGAGCTCTATCTGCGAGTATGCATGACTCAGATCGAGTTTGGTAAACCTTTCACCACCAGCTAGTGTTGCATACAAGTCATCAATACGTGGCAAGGGGTACCTGACCAGCATGGATGCTTGATTTATGGTTATCTTGTAGTCACCACAAATCCGTACGGAGCCGTCCGGTTTGGTTACTGGCACAATTGGAGTTCCCCAGTCAAAAACGTGTACAGGAGTAATAATACCTCGAGTCTGTAGGCGGTTTAGTTCCTCTTCAACTTTAGGCCTCATAGCGTATGGTAGTGTGCGCGCCCTAATGAATTTTGGTCGAGCGCCTTCCTTTAGTTTTATCGCAGCCTGAAATTCTTTCAACTTCCCAAGCTCCTCGGAAAAAACAGCTGAATGTTGTTTAAGTAATGTTTCAAGCCCGGAGATCTCGGTGACCAATTTTACCACATTCATTGTATCCGGGAAAGCACGTATCTAGTCTCTTCCAAGTAGATTTGAACGATCCCCGGGGATCACATATACAGGAAGTGTGCGTATTTTGTCGCCAAACTGTGCCTTCACGAAGCATTTACCAAGGACACGTATAGGTTCACCGGTGTATGTGCGAAGAACAGAATTGCAAGCGGATAAGTTCGGGAGCGTTCTTACAGCGTTTGCCCGGATTATCGTCACGGATGCTCCTGTATCGATTTCCATCTGTACCTTTTGTCCTTCAATGTAAAGCTCTAGAGTGTATGGCGCCGGCTGCATGCTAGAAACGGAATTAAGCCAAATGGGATGTAATTCAGGGTCGCTACCATCAGACTCGTCCACAGTTTTGATGGGGTTTGCTCCTCGATAAGCCCCACCTGAACGTCGCTTGACCGATCTACACACTCGCGCCTGGTGGCCCACCTTCCCGCAGCTTTTACATACTGTCTTCTGATGCCGGCAGTCGGATGGACAACTGCGCTGCTCACCACAACGATAACACACAAACAAATTGACGCCAGTGGGTGGCTTTGGTTTTGGTGTAGTGTTAATCAATCGCAGCTCATCTGACGAGTCCTTCAGCGTAAATGTTGCGAGTTGTTGTGTAAGGTGTTCCCTCTGCCTGGCAATCGAGCAGGCCGTCTCCCAGGTCAGTGAACAATCATCTTGTGAAAGGAGCTTCTCCCGCGTGCTCTGGTCTGAGATTCCGGCTATCAAACATTGGAGTAACATGGTCTCTTCAAATCTCGTTGGATCGACTTCATTGTATTTACAATCAGGTGCTGCTTGTAGTACACGAGCGATGAACTCGTTCACACTCTCATCTGGTTTCTGGCAGAGTTTCTAGAAGTAGTATCTAGCCGTAAAAACATTCTGACGAACACCCCAAAGAGCACTGAAGGTTTCCAAAGTGCCGGTTATCGTAGAAGAGATTTGATCAATACGAAGTGCATCGAAATACCTTTGACCCTCATCTCCAAGAAACTGTCTCAAGGGCTTCACTTTGTTTTTCTCAGTAAGAGATACTGCTGGATTCAAGATTGGAAGCAATTCCAAGTAATCCGTAAAGGTTTTCCGCCATCTATGCCACGAGTCCAGGGAAGGTTTGTCGGTAGAGCACGGCCAGAAGACCGTTGGAGTATTTGTCATTGACCTGTTGACCTCCGTCGCCAGATATCACAACTGGACTCTAACCGCAAGTACGTATTTCAACTCGTAGCGAATAACCAAGAAGACGCGTCAGTCTGGCGCACAGTGTACTGAACACTTAACAGTTTACATGTGAGCACGGAACGTTAGGGTGTGTCCTTGAGTGCGTGTGTGCGTGCTTATCTACGTTTGCGTGTAGGGCCAATCAGGTTCACGGTCATAGTGAGCGATCATTGGTTGAACACGTAACATGCACAACGTAGGGCAAGGAAGAGCGCCAGAGGTTTGACCAGCCTCCCCTACCCACTCAGGCTGAAGACACACAAAATATACAGTGGACGTTATCGGCGTCTAAGGGGCGATCTCTTATTGGTGTACCAGATCCTGCGAAACTTCAACCACGCATGCCATTCCCTTCTAATACTCAGTCAAAACACCAGTTTAAGCTGGTCATGCAGTACAGCCGCCTGGAATGTCGGCGAAACTATTTATCCCTTCGAGTGTCATAGCCTTGAAATGCCCTCCCGGAACATCTAATTAATGCACCCACCTATCCCTTTTCAAAAAACGCCTTGACGATACTCTGTCACATTTACACTACGGGCTATAGCCATTGACCACCAGATGCTGGCACTAATGCATAACAGACAGTGGACAGTGCCATAACCCTACTCGAGAATGAGTCACTCCAAACCCCTTGCACACAATTTGCTAAACGCGACTACTATAAAAACTGGATTTCTGTCTCCCGTCTACCCAAGACAGTTGCACACGAGTAAGCGTTGTCCTTGCTGTTTTTAACTTTTTGCTCGCATATTACGTGATCAGTAACCACTTCCCTATTGCTTTGCGTACATTCTAATTTCAAACTCCCTTTATACGACAGTGCAGTTAAATCTGTAATCGCCCGAACTGACGACTCCATTATCCCTTGATCTATCTTTTCTCACTCTAAATACCCTACGGGACATGTCAAGCACCTGCTTTTTTATCCGTTAAAAATCATTGTTCATTGGTCAGATACACTTTTCAATCATTACTTGACGCAGCAGCATTGATAACACTCTCCATCGTCGATTTCGCTCTCTATATTTTGAACTACGACTTTGTTCGCCTTCTCTGCTTCAATGACGATTGAAGGTAGTTCCTTATGTGCTTACGTTTTGAGGATGCGCTTTCACAGCTGGCTATGCTAATAGTTTGGCTAGAAAATCTGCGCAGTAGATTCCCCAAGTGATATTTCGGTTCGAGTCTTAAAAGCTCAGATGGTCCATTAATTTTGGTTTTTAATGACGATTTCACAAAATACCGCCATTTTCTTCTTTCGGCAAGGATTGCGTTCCTTCTATATCTTCTATGACTTTACTAATCGGACAACCATAGTTATTATCAAGCAGATTTAACGGTGAATGAAAAAGGTATTTGTTCGCAAGGTTATGAATTTTCTGCAATCAATGGCGTTTCATTAGCCAAAATGTCAATGAGAGACAGCATTTCCCGTTTCAACCCTGCATCAAATCTCATCGACATACCCAACAATCATTCGCCGTCCACTCATTTCTTTTGGCCGATTCAACGCTTCATGCTTACTCTAAAATTAGCGCAGTTTTTTGGATTCATCCGTTGCAATGTGTACCATTTTATCTACATTCTCAAGGAAGCAACTCTGAACGTTGTAAGATTGTTAAGACGTTGCATATCCGGCCCATTTCTCTAGATATACTTGTGCATCCTTGAATTCTATGTGAGCAGATCCCTAAATTCTAAGATACAAAATAAACGGAAAGGGCTGTACCGATGTTGTGACGTACAGTACGCCTTCACCCCACGACCGCAAGAAGAAGTCCAAGATGAGCCGAGATGAACAGATTTTCTATTACAGCACGGCACCAGTTATATAGCTTTACAAACAAGGGCGAATCCAACCTACTAAACGCATGAGATCCAACAGGCATGGAGAAAACACAAAATGCAACAAGCAAATGAGAATCGCGAAAATTACGAGCCAATGAAGTGCGGCAAAGAAAATAGTTACTGCGGAGTTAACCCCTGGGGGTAACCTTCTGGTGAGCGACCATTAAAAACGACGAGTAGCGTCCAATCAGTGTGGAGAAGTAATGCGTTTATACAAATGCCAGAACAGTTGATAGTGAGAATGATACACACCAGGAAAATAAAAACAGGTATAATAAATATGTGTCGGCTGAATAATACATCCACGTGAAAAAGCTAAGGAATGTTGGGCAAAAGAAACCAATCCGAATGTCCACAGAATGAGACGGCTGAAATTAGCTGTGAGCGATTGCGAATGAGGCTGAGGAAAGCGGCGTGTCCAAAATGTAGCATAGAAGCAGGTAACTGCGCAAACAAAGAAATAGGCAACTAACATAATTCATGAAACTGAGGGTTAAGTAGCCAGCTCCCTAACATCTTCCCCTTCTAAAATGTTAGTTACCTGTACGAAACATAGCTTTTCCGACGCGGGTCCACTTGAAACGGCTGTACAAATTTTCTTGTTCGTTGGGTTCTGTTCCGACCTTCTTGTTCCGGGCATTCCCTTGGTTGAAATTCTCGGCGTGAAGAAGCACTTGGTTTGCCATTGTCAAGCAACTCATTAACATCAAATCTGTTGGCATTCTGAACATCACCTTCCAGTGTACACCGCGGTTTCAGCTGATTTGCGTGACGTCTCCATACCTGCGCACCAACTTGAACATCGTACATCACCCGTCCCCGACGTCGCACGATGCGTCCTGGTATCCAGCTGATCCGCCGTCCCTGAATAGCCGCTGCAGATACAAATTCGCCAACTCTGAACATCCTTCTCCGTGCTCCGTACCGCCTGTTGTACTGCTGCTCCATTGCTAAGTTCCTTGTTTGTGGGAGAGGACGCCTGAGTGTCAGCAAATCCAGTGTAGTACTCAATCTGCGACCCATTTGGACTTCAGCTGGTGACTTCCCATCGGGTGCATTGGGATTGGGAGTCACTCGATAATTCAGTAGGAACCGCTCCAGTCTTTCGTCCAACGTTCCCTCGTCTTTTGACTTCAAAAGTGCTCTTTTCAGGATATCGACAAATCTTTCCGCTTGGCCATTTGACTGTGGATAATATGGTGCTGTCCTCACGTGCTCGATTCCATTTTGTGCGCAAAACTCGGCGAATTGATAGGACGTAAACTGCGATCCGTTGTCGGAAATAATGGTTTTTGGTAGGCCATGCTGACTGAATACATGTCTCATTTCCGAGATCGTGCTGTTTGAGGACGTAGTTTTCATCCGGATTACTTCCGACCACTTACTGTACGCGTCAACCATCACAAGAAATTCCACACCCTCGACCGGTCCTGCGAAATCAATATGTATGCGCGACCAGGGAGATTCTGGATTCGACCAAGATTGCAATGGTACACGCACCGGCAGTTTGCATGCACTGATGCATCTGGAACAGGATCGACCGATATCCTCAATTTGGCTGTCCATCATCGGCCAAAAGACGTAGCTGCGAGCGAGTGCCTTCATGCGGGAGATTCCTGGATGACCCTTGTGCAGCTCTCTTAGTATGCGCTGTCTGAGCACTTCTGGAATGACTATGCGATCTGCGAAAAACAGACAGGAATCAACTTCCGGCAATGCGCCTCGCCTTGTGAAGAACTGAGTCAAAGCTTCGTTCGGACACTTCTTTGGCCATCCACTTCTTGTATAGGTTAATACTTCTTGTAGCACAGCGTCCTGTTTAGTGCCTTGCGCAACCATTAAACCATTCACTGGCAAGTTACGCACTACGTCTTGTGTCATGTAGCTGACGTCCGATTCGGCTGCAATGGATGCAATGACTGCGTCTTCTTGATCGCGTCTACCGGTATTGATCAGTCTGGACAGGGCGTCCGCTTGTCCAATAGAATCAGTGGACAAATACCGCATGCCAAAATCATACCCCAGGAGCAGAGTTGCCCAGCGCTGAAGTCGACTGGCTGTATATGTCGGAATGCCTTTCTTAGATCCAAAGATTGCCAAAAGCGGTTTGTGATCAGTCACCAGCGTGAATCTTCTGCCATATATCATCTTGTGAAATCTCTGTACGGCAAAGATGATAGCCAATGCCTCCTTCTCAATTTGACTGTAGTTCTTTTCAGATGCGGTCAGCGCTCGTGCCACATGTGCCACAGCCTTTTCGGACCCGTCTGGAAAGCGATGTGAGATGACAGCACCAATTCCATAACTCGAAGCATCCGTAGCCACGACAATCTCCTGCTTCGGATTGTCATGCGTAAGGAGCAAATCTGATTTCAACAGAAATTTGAGTTTGTCAAAAGCTTCTTGACACGGTGCAGACCAGTTCCTTTCAACATCTTTCATCAACAAATGGTTTACAGGATGACGTAATCGATGCATGCAAGGTAGGAACTCACTATAATGACTCACCATCCCAAGGAATGAGTGCAAGGTTGCGACATCCGTTGGTGCCGGTAATCTGTCTATGGCCTCGATATTTTCAGGATCAGGCCGTCGACCGTTCTCGTCAATCACGAAACCCAGGAACTTGATGGATTTCAGGAAAAATTTGCATTTGTCAGCTCACAACCGGACTCCATATTCCTTAATTCTCATCATCACGTCATCCAATCGTTGAAACAACTCCTCCTGGGTTCCGCCCATTATGAGGATGTCATCTAGATAGGCTGCTGCTCCCGTCAAGCCAGTCAACATAGCGTCCATAACTTGTTGAAAGATTGCAGGTGCAGTTTTTACTCCAAATGGCAAACGATTATACTGGTAAAGGCCGCGATGCGTGTTGATTGTTAGAAGCTTTCTGCTTTCCGGTTCGACCTGCAGTTGCAAATAAGCGTCTGCCAGATCCAGAGTAGCAAAGTACTTGCCTCCATTCAGCTTTGCAAACACGTCGTCTGGGAGTGGAAGCGGGTACTGATGGGGTTCTAATGCAGCATTCAAGCCGGTTGAAAAATCTGCACACAAACGAACTGAGCCATTCGGTTTTCTGATCACAACGATAGGCGCCACCCATTGTGAGAAACTGACTTGCTCGATCACTCCGGCCTGCTGTAATCGATCAAGCTCATGCTCCACGAGTGCTTGGGATGCGTGAGGGACTGGACGTCTGGGTCGGAACACTGGCTTTGCCTCAGGAAGCAGGGTAAGCTTTGCCTGCATTTTCGTGCAATGACCAAGCTCTGATTGAAATACACATGCATACTTCGATTGAAGCAGTTTTGCAATACTTTGACCCGGCTGATTCGATACGGCTGTATGAAGCACCGCGTCATTATTCTCAGAACAAATGTGACTCAATGGTACGTCGAGTAGATGCAGCTTCTCGATCCAATCGACGCCGAGCAGATTTACGTCACTGCTCGTAACCAATTAAATCGTGCCACGAAGATTCAAGCCATTGAAGCTGACTTCGCACTCAATCTCACCATCTAATCTCAGTGGTCCCCCAAATGCATTTTTAGTCGTCAGGGTTGTGCGTTTGAATGCTGGTCTCCCAAGCCTCTTCCAGACTGATCTCGAGATGATTGTAATGTCGGACGCTGTATCCAGCTGCAACGTGATAGGAAGACCATTGACTTTTACTGACACGTACTTTCTCTTGCGTGCAAGTTCTGTGCGAAAGGCGGCGAGGATTATCTTTGCGGCCAGTCCGTGAAAATTGGCTCTTCTAAAATTGGGATTTACGCGCATTTTTGGGGGACAAGAACGTCTGAAATTGTTCACAACTCGGAAGTGGGTTTCCTTATGGCCAATCCGTCTGCACTTCTGACATTGGTGCGTTTTATATGTGCAATCTCTCACAAAATGCCAGGCGCCACAATTCCAGCATGCGGTCGGGGGCTTCTGAGTTGATCCAGTTCGATTCATTCCTTCACGTCGGATAGCTGTACGACAGATTTAGGGTTCAGTTTTGTGATCAGCAGTTTCAACCATTTTTGTATCGTGCTTCAAATTAATCAGCCGCTGGCATTCTGTAGTGATATCCTGCAACGTCAGTTGTGGTTCCTGTTCAAGCTTGTGTAAAATTCGTGTGCGAATATCGGCATCAGCGTGGGACTGGAGACTGCACACAAAAATAAGACTCTTAAATTGATCCGCAGTCATGGTGCCCAGTTTGAATCGTTCACATTCGCGGTTCACAATCCCGGCATCAGTGACAAAGTCATGAACATCGCGTTTGACCAACTTCAAACAATTGTACCGAATGCTGAACAAAGAGGATTGCTCAGTGAAGATCTGCGTCAAAGTTCTCACGGTCTCATCAAAGCTGAAGTCCCTTGCGTTTTTCGGCAAAACGAAATTTGTGTAGCATTCATGCTCCAATGCTCCAAGTTTTCTCAACAACAATCGAACTTTCCAGGCATCATCTTGGTCAGCAAACTACACTCGAAAAATATCCTCATACATCTTAAACCATGAATCGAAGGTTACACCACTCAATCCATCGAACACAAATTCTGTGATTGATGCAATAAGGGCGTCCACTGATGATGGTGCAATCGACGTCGTCGTCGGTTCTGTCTGAAGGTTCAATTTCTGTGTGAGCGATTGGATCAGCTGCCTTTGCGATTTCTCAAATTGCAATTGTTGCTGTTGAAGTAAAGTCTGCAACTGCTTGAACGAAACCGACATGGTTCACCACTTCTCATCGCCAGAAGAATATGTTGTGACGCCCAGTACGCCTTCACCCCACGACCGCAAGAAGAAGTCCAAGATGAGCCGAGATGAACAGATTTTCTATTACAGCACGGCACCAGTTATATAGCTTTACAAACAAGGGCGAATCCAACCTACTAAACGCATGAGATCCAACAGGCATGGAGAAAACACAAAATGCAACAAGCAAATGAGAATCGCGAAAATTACGAGCCAATGAAGTGCGGCAAAGAAAATAGTTACTGCGGAGTTAACCCCTGGGGGTAACCTTCTGGTGAGTGACCATTAAAAACGACGAGTAGCGTCCAATCAGTGTGGAGAAGTAATGCGTTTATACAAATGCCAGAACAGTTGATAGTGAGAATGATACACACCAGGAAAATAAAAACAGGTATAATAAATATGTGTCGGCTGAATAATACATCCACGTGAAAAAGCTAAAGAATGTTGGGCAAAAGAAACTAATCCGAATGTCCACAGAATGAGACGGCTGAAATTAGCTGTGAGCGATTGCGAATGAGGCTGAGGAAAGCGGCGTGTCCAAAATGTAGCAGAGAAGCAGGTAACTGCGCAAACAAATAAATAGGCAACTAACATAATTCATGAAACTGAGGGTTAAGTAGCCAGCTCCCTAACATCTTCCCCTTCTAAAATGTTAGTTACCTGTACGAAACATAGCTTTTCCGACGCGGGTCCACTTGAAACGGCTGTACAAATTTTCTTGTTCGTTGGGTTCTGTTCCGACCTTCTTGTTCCGGGCATTCCCTTGGTTGAAATTCTCGGCGTGAAGAAGCACTTGGTTTGCCATTGTCAAGCAACTCATTAACATCAAATCTGTTGGCATTCTGAACATCACCTTCCAGTGTACACCGCGGTTTCAGCTGATTTGCGTGACGTCTCCATACCTGCGCACCAACTTGAACATCGTACATCACCCGTCCCCGACGTCGCACGATGCGTCCTGGTATCCAGCTGATCCGCCGTCCCTGAATAGCCGCTGCAGATACAAATTCGCCAACTCTGAACATCCTTCTCCGTGCTCCGTACCGCCTGTTGTACTGCTGCTCCATTGCTAAGTTCCTTGTTTGTGGGAGAGGACGCCTGAGTGTCAGCAAATCCAGTGTAGTACTCAATCTGCGACCCATTTGGACTTCAGCTGGTGACTTCCCATCGGGTGCATTGGGATTGGGAGTCACTCGATAATTCAGTAGGAACCGCTCCAGTCTTTCGTCCAACGTTCCCTCGTCTTTTGACTTCAAAAGTGCTCTTTTCAGGATATCGACAAATCTTTCCGCTTGGCCATTTGACTGTGGATAATATGGTGCTGTCCTCACGTGCTCGATTCCATTTTGTGCGCAAAACTCGGCGAATTGATAGGACGTAAACTGCGATCCGTTGTCGGAAATAATGGTTTTTGGTAGGCCATGCTGACTGAATACATGTCTCATTTCCGAGATCGTGCTGTTTGAGGACGTAGTTTTCATCCGGATTACTTCCGACCACTTACTGTACGCGTCAACCATCACAAGAAATTCCACACCCTCGACCGGTCCTGCGAAATCAATATGTATGCGCGACCAGGGAGATTCTGGATTCGACCAAGATTGCAATGGTACACGCACCGGCAGTTTGCATGCACTGATGCATCTGGAACAGGATCGACCGATATCCTCAATTTGGCTGTCCATCATCGGCCAAAAGACGTAGCTGCGAGCGAGTGCCTTCATGCGGGAGATTCCTGGATGACCCTTGTGCAGCTCTCTTAGTATGCGCTGTCTGAGCACTTCTGGAATGACTATGCGATCTGCGAAAAACAGACAGGAATCAACTTCCGGCAATGCGCCTCGCCTTGTGAAGAACTGAGTCAAAGCTTCGTTCGGACACTTCTTTGGCCATCCACTTCTTGTATAGGTTAATACTTCTTGTAGCACAGCGTCCTGTTTAGTGCCTTGCGCAACCATTAAACCATTCACTGGCAAGTTACGCACTACGTCTTGTGTCATGTAGCTGACGTCCGATTCGGCTGCAATGGATGCAATGACTGCGTCTTCTTGATCGCGTCTACCGGTATTGATCAGTCTGGACAGGGCGTCCGCTTGTCCAATAGAATCAGTGGACAAATACCGCATGCCAAAATCATACCCCAGGAGCAGAGTTGCCCAGCGCTGAAGTCGACTGGCTGTATATGTCGGAATGCCTTTCTTAGATCCAAAGATTGCCAAAAGCGGTTTGTGATCAGTCACCAGCGTGAATCTTCTGCCATATATCATCTTGTGAAATCTCTGTACGGCAAAGATGATAGCCAATGCCTCCTTCTCAATTTGACTGTAGTTCTTTTCAGATGCGGTCAGCGCTCGTGCCACATGTGCCACAGCCTTTTCGGACCCGTCTGGAAAGCGATGTGAGATGACAGCACCAATTCCATAACTCGAAGCATCCGTAGCCACGACAATCTCCTGCTTCGGATTGTCATGCGTAAGGAGCAAATCTGATTTCAACAGAAATTTGAGTTTGTCAAAAGCTTCTTGACACGGTGCAGACCAGTTCCTTTCAACATCTTTCATCAACAAATGGTTTACAGGATGACGTAATCGATGCATGCAAGGTAGGAACTCACTATAATGACTCACCATCCCAAGGAATGAGTGCAAGGTTGCGACATCCGTTGGTGCCGGTAATCTGTCTATGGCCTCGATATTTTCAGGATCAGGCCGTCGACCGTTCTCGTCAATCACGAAACCCAGGAACTTGATGGATTT